GGATCCAGCCCGTTTGTGACACTGTGCACGCCCTTTCGTTCTGCCCGCCGGTTCGCAGCAATATGGTCCTGGGGATGTGGTACGCCCTTACCATCTCCTCAAGTCTTTTGTACCCACTTATGGAGGGCGTACAATCTGCTACTTCGTGATGAAGCGCAGCCACGAACTTGAATCCAGCGGGCAGATCCTTTGGTGCTTTCCGTAGGTTACTCAACCTACCCGGGATCGTCACGCTTTCCCATCCCCCAACCACCGGCCGATCTGAGACACTGCTTACAAAATCCCCCACTTCTTCTTCCTGGATGGGTGTCTCTTCAGTGGACGAGCTGCTAGATGACGCAGTAGGCTGGTCGCCACTATCATCCCTGGCGCTCGAACTGGCGCTTGCCTCAGGCGCCATTCTTTCCGGCGAGTCCTGCAACTCAGGCGGCACTATCATAGTGATAGGCTCCACTGACAATACCCCTGCCTCTTCCCCCTCTCTGCCCTGGTTACCTCGTTGCTCTGTGAGTTCTCTTAATGAAACCATTTTTACCTAAAACTGAGTGTGAAGTTGATTCGATGTACGGGTTCTTCAAGCTGGAGCTGTTCTGCTTCAGAGAATTTTGGAAAGTTTAAGCAAACACAGAAATGAAAATGAAAGAGGAAACGGTTACGCAGAGAAGGATATGGTAGTGTTAATTGCCGTACGCGTGTTTCTGACGCGCCAATTCGCGTCATACACGTGGCGCACGCTTAACGTTCCTTCTGCATAACGTGCGCCGACTTTAGCTGTCACGTCCCTCAAATGCTAAGCCAGCATTTATGACGGGGAAGACAAAGGGATACGGGGAGATCAACCATATCTCCTCAGAGATCTGCTTGATTCAAAAAACCCAAGATTCAGATCGTCATTGCTAATGTATACCTTGTACTGTCAAGTCAGCTCGCCATTACAGGCACACTTGTTCAGCAGTGTAGCTTTTTCGCTAAAATCCTTCCATGGTTCGGCCCGTCACGCATCGTGACGACAAGCGCATTTGTCAGATCGACACACGGATTGCAGCTTACACAGGCCACAAACTTTCGCATAAATCAATGGGTGACCCAGGTCGCCTTATTTGCCAGCACCACTAGTACGGGCTGGTAAAGTGGTGGTCAAAAAACTCAAGTCACACGGAATATGAGATCGCGTTGCCTCACCTCGTGATCATAGCTACCGAGCTTCTTGGTTTCAGGTCGTCACTACTGAACTTCCTGCTTCCAGGTCGTCACTCCTGAACTTCCTGCTTCCAGGTCGTCACTCCTGAACTTCC